ACACGCACACACGCACACACACTACTGGTTTCAGCACAAATGTGACCTTCAGTTTTCAAACTAAACTGGTCACAGAGTAGAAATCATGGCTCGGGCTGAGCACCCACATGTTAATCAGAGCTGCAGAGGTGTAACCCAGGACAAAGCTCTTACCTGCAGTAATTTATTAACACCTTCCTAATCAGGAATATGCATGAGTATAACTATCTCTAAAAGACACTGCTCCCACTGTGAACCTGAGTGTGGGATTCCTCGTGTCTGCGCTCTCAGGGCAGTTAGCTGCGATGGTAATCACTGTGGTAATTACTTACCCAGTGCTGACATTCAGCCTCATTTAGTGAAGATTCATGAATTTATTTCATTCCCTTTATTCTGATTTGTGGAAATCAAATGTTCTTCTGTAGTTGCTAGAATTACTGAACACAGAGTTCTGTAGACTCTCATCGTGCTCAGTGGAGCGTGTGCCACATGTGCAGTGTCACCTCACAACAAAGGGTTTGTGGTTCCCACATTCTCCGTGTCTTTGTGGGTTTCACTCCACAGTAAAGAATAAAATAAAAAGTACAGTTACCCTCCATAAATCCAGCTGTAACCTCCAAATAACTTCAGGATTGACCCGTAGCGTCCTCTTCTGGTGAAATGGAAGTACTGTATACTAATGCGCACAGGGTGTATGCTCATGCTTCTGTCTTACTAGCTGCACCATGCGTCCTGCAACTGCATCAGAAGTTGAACTTGTTGTTTGCGTTAGTGTTGTGTAACACAGTGATTTGATTATGTTAACTTATTATAAACTGTCAAAGTTCAGCTGGCGCAGGGAAAGAGGTGAGTTACTCTCTTTCTAGTCCCTGTCAGGACTCTTGCTGCAGCATTTTGGATCAGCTGAAGGCTTTTCATAAATGCATGAACTAGTTTTTCAGCGTCACTCTGAGACAGGATATTTCTAACTTTAGAGATGTTGCACAAATGGAAGAAAGCAGTCTTACATATTTGTTTAATATGTGCATTGAAGGACATGTCCTGGTCAAAAATGACTCCAAGGTTCCTCACAGTGTTACTGGAGGCCAAGGTAATGCCATCCAGAGTAAGAATCTGCTTAGATACCATATTTCATGGGCGTAGATTTGGCATGGACGGAAGGGACATGTCCCCACCAATAATTTGATCTCCTCGAGTAAAGAAAAACAAACCCGATAGAAAGAAAAACCGATCTGTCAGCGTCTCATTCACCCAGCGGTGCAGAAAGAGTGAAATTACTTCTCTACTGGAGTCCTACGTCATGTGACAAATATGGCCAATGTGATTGGCTGAGCCTTTCAGGGAGCTCTGTTTAGTTTCAGCAGCGGCAAACCTGCGCTGCGAGGAGGAGAGGAGGAGGACGGCAGCAAAGAGGAAGAAGCTGGATATAAGAAAGTGTTTTTCAAAGACACCTGTGAGTCACTTAAAGCCAAGCTCACTCATAAATGTGTCACAATAACGTGCCAGGCTGTGCCAGGCTTTGGCCCACATCAGTCTGAAACTGTATGTAACCATGAACGTGTTTGGGAAACTACCTGCACAGCAGGCAGCACTGTTGGTTCTCTCAGTCTCAGAGCAGCGTTTCTCATTTTGATTGAAGCTGTCAGAGAAAACGGAGCCTCGAGCAGCCCGGATATTAGTTTACAGAGGCTGTTAGAATTATATGTCTAATGTTGCTGACACAATAATTTGTGGCACTGACGTATTCATAGGGTTCATCTTTGAGACAAAATGTCATGAATAGTCATGATTTTGCAAATATCCACCTTGTAGTTCAGTTTGCACAAATTGTTTTAAAAATGCACTCAGCCTGCAAACATCACTGATGAGTCATCAGTGATGTTTGCATAGAGCCCAAAATGTTGCATAACTTTGCTGAGAGATCTTTGACTCTGTGGTCATCTTAGACGAGCAGTTTTATGGACCAAACCCAGCAGGTCACTCAGTGTTGCCTTAGTGCTGATGTGTCAGAGATGTTGGTGTAACTGAAGTAATGTTGTTAAGTCCTTAAAGTCATATTCTTTTATTGTCACGACTGTATTTGAAGCTATTTTTACTTTTGTATGATTTATATGGAATGTGGCTGAAATAAACTAAAGCCTAAAATACTCAGTCATTTGTTTAATAGTAACTTAACATTATATAATTCACATAAAACTATGAATTGTAATTTTAAATGGTTTAAAAGCAGGTAGAATAGCATATGTAGGCAAGTATATTTCTCCTTTTATCAAGAAGCAAAGACAAAAAGGAAAAAGAGAAACGGGGCAGGTTGGGTGGTCGAATCATCCGTCCCCACCAACGCCAACACCAAATCTACGCCCTTATTTCTAAGCTTTTCAGGGCCGAGTACAATAACCTCAGTTTGATCTGAATTAAGAAGCAGAAAGTTAGCGGCCATCCAGGTCTTTATGTCTTTAAGACATTCCTGCAGTTTAACTAATTGGTGTGTGTTATCTGGCTTCATGCACAGATAGAGCTGGGTGTCATCTGCATAGCAGTGAAATATTCACAGGCTGCTCGGATTGAATGACCTGCATAAAATGAACTAACGAATTAAGATGCACATCTTCTGCACATTGTAGTTTCAACACATCTGTGTCACATTAAGGAAACCGCTGTGACGTCGTTTGTCCTTATCAGTTCTCCCACCCAGAGGTCGGGAAAAGGAGACGGCACCCTGTGAACAGCTCCCGTTCACCCTCAGCCCTCAATCAAAAACACAAAAGCAAATCTTAGATAAATCCATTTTAATGGAAAATGTAAAACCCTTTTGAACTTCAATGTACAAAGCATGTAACACTTGCAAGTTAAAATTTGAAATTGAAGCAAGCCATGTTTTAAAAAAATACCTCAGTGGATGTATATATGTACATATTATAGTTCATTTTTTCTTTATTTTATGTTTTAACTTCAAAATGTCACCATAGTAAATCTTAACAAAAACAAGACAATCAATTCTTTTCTTAAATAAATTACATCTTTTCTGTAAATGTCTCATTTTTACAGCAAATACTTATTTCATAAAATGCTGACGTGTATAAGCCATTTCGTTTGTTGTTTCCTTTACATAATACAACTTTACACAGTCTACAATAGTTTGGCAGGTCATTTTCAGAAAATGTATTTATGGCATGAGGACTGTAGAGCGTCAACATTTCCCAAAGTACAGGCATTAGCTGGTGTGTGTGTGTGTGTGTGTCCTCCATCACAGTAGAGCCGTATTACAACTGAAAAACAGCAAAAGAAAACAAACTGTACAACTCACATTTACATAATGCATTTTGTTTCAATAACACTGCATTTCATAGAGCTATGAAATAAATACATCTTCACAGAGGAGATAAAACAAGGTTAGATGAAAGAAATCCTGAAAAAAAAGCACAACAAAACTAGAAAAAAGGACAAGAACGACACGAAGGAACGAGAAACGAGGGAGCAGCAGAGGCTGCTGACTAAAACAGCTGAGATTTCTGGTTTGCATTTTCCGCCCTCGTGTGTCTTTTTGCCTTTCGAAACATCAGAGATGCCAGTTTTGATCCTAATGCTGCTGGTGATGCTGACGCCATCAGCTGTGTTAGCTGCTGCCATAGGTTAGAGTTCCTGGCCTTTATCATCCAAAGCAGTGAGCGCGGCTCCACCAGTGCTGCTACGACAGTCTGAGCCTCCGTGGAAACTGCATTTCAGCTGGATGCAGACGCGTTTGGAGGTTTGTAGTGCTGATTCACTCCATCACACTGGCTCTAGTGAGGCTCCCAGCCAGCGTTCGCTTTGTGTTTGGAGCCTGTGGGGCTTTCAGCCCTCTCAGCCCAGCTGCTCTTCAATTTGTCTCCTCTTGGCACTAAAGGTTTGGGGTGATGACAAGGGCGGCAGTGCCTCTCACTGGCCACTCGATGTGTGACATGAATGTGGGTCACACTGTGAGGTCCTCTGGATCACATGACCAGCTTTGAGCCAGCCTTTTATTGTGGTCACGTGACACAGCCCTCCATGGCAGAAGGAGGAGGGTGTGGAAAGGGCGAGGTGCTGATGGGAGTCGCAGCCATCTGTGGAAGGCATGAACGAGGCTGAGAGGGCATCATGAGTTGTGTTCCTCGTCGTCTTTCTCAGAGCCGCTCTTTCTAAGGGAACTCGCTGCCTCCTTCACACAATGATACAGGATGTTCTTCACCTGCAGGGAAACAGCAAGGCGACACGGTGTAAGTGCTGGACCTCGTCCATTTCTTTTACAAGAATTATGTTCAAATCTCAAACGTCAAGCAGCCTGTCAAATCGCAGACACACACCCAGTACTGCCAAGCAGCAACCTTTGGACCTGAGAAGCTGCCGTTCCTCTGAGGCTCCACAAACAAGTCCATTCCCATAGGTTGCCATATAACCAAGCAGCATTAAAAGCTGTGTTCACAGTCTGCCCCCCCAAAATGTTTTTCCCCTGTGTGGATATTTCATAACAAGCGTGCAGCAGCAGTGAAGGTATGGCTGCTCTGACTGACTCATGTAGAACTGCTAGCTGCTAGGCTTCACCAAGAGTCACTGAACTTGACCTCCCACTGTGGAGCATTTTCATGTCGACACAATAAATCCCTCTGATGATGACTGCCCCTCTGACAGACTTCGCTTTGGTTTTCAAACACAAACGCAGCAGAATGCAGACGATACGGAGACGGAGTGTAACTCAGCCACAGAGCTTTAACCACAACGAGACTGCTGTGCTCGGTGTTCTGCTGACGCTGATTGTATTACCTGTAGTTTGTCTTCATAGTTGACCTCCTCGTTGTTGGGTCGTAGCTCCTGGGTCAGGTGGAAGGAGTTAGCCACGTGCTCAGGAGACACAAAGTCATTGATGACTTGAACACAGCTGTGGAGGTTTTGGACCTGCAACAATCACAGAATATCAAGTAAAAATAAGCCAAACACATTGATAACTGAGTGTGCCTATTCTTCTTCTATTTTTCTTCTTCTGCCTAAACCTTTGCAGCGAAACGCGTCGTAGCTTTGAGACAACGCTTCCATATATCGTTTCAAGCGGCTCGATTGGGTACGGTGTGCCGGGGATTTTGGTGGCAATTCGTGGTTTTTGCAAAATTCCCCAAAACAAATAGATTTTTAATTGTTCCCATTCATTTCAATGGGAACACATCTGAAAAAGGCACAAACGCAGGCCACTTTGAAGGCCTACTGCTCGGCCAGAGTTGATCACAGAAACATCATTCAAGCATCACATGGGTCACAAGACTTTGGACTGTTATTGACTAAAACCATGCTTCGATAGCTTTTATGGTTTTTTCACAACATCAGTATAAATTTTAAGAAAAATGCGATTTTTCCTGCCACGGAATGATCATGTGACCTGCTCTAAAACCAGCGTGGAGAATATTTGAAACAGAAGTCTTTCTTTCCCGCCCAAACCTTTTGCTCTACATGTATATTATATACATCAGAGCGTAGCTCCATTGTCCTCTTTCACCCAGTCACGTTTGAGACAGCATGTATGGATCTCTCAGAGATGAAGCGCAGCCTCCTGCCCGTCTCTCCCCCACAGGCAACCATGTGTCTTTACACTGTTACCACCATGATAAACACTACAGATATGATAATGTAACAACGGGATATTTCACTCACGGTGACGTTTCCAGAGTTTTCTCTAGGGAAGCAGTTGTTTCAAAACTGGAATCTTGTTTGGCGGCTGTGTGTCTGAGTGTGCGTTTCTAGTTAGTTAGTTACTATAGTAACCAGTCCTCACAGCTGTTTGAAACGCCACGCACGCAGAGCCTGACGTCTTTGAAACCTGACCCAGCAGCAGCTCAGGCACACTCAAAATGACTAGTTTGTGTAAACCATCTGCTGCCACAATATTACGTACAATCACACCATCACCCAAACTGTGAAACTGTGTGAAAGCTCCACTGTGCAATAAGAATAATACGAATAATGTCAACTACGCTGCATTCAGTTTAAACTATGAAACATCAAACACCATCACTTCCTCTATTTTAATTGTGCGCTTCACAAAGAGGCCGCCGACTATTAGACTGGTTTCATTTCTGCTGCATTACATTTGGTAGAGTTGGACGTGTTGTCCTTATCAGTTAGTGATCAGTGTGTGTGTGTGTGGTAAACACCTGATGCATGGCCCCTGCAGGTATAAGGACAGAGTCTCCCAGGAATTGAACGACTGTCCAGCCCTGGACGCCATGCTCATCCAGCAGCCGCTGACGCTGCTTCCTGCTCAGGTACCATGCGTGCTTTCTGATGGAGTCCTGGTCCAGCGACACGTCCAAACCCTGCTCCTTAGAGAGCTGAGGTGGTTGTTGTTGAAGGGGAGGAAAAGGGTTTTCTAGGTCAGCACTACGCTGAAATTCACTAAATTCACACAATCACGTTTTGAGTGTGTTTCTGCGAGTGCCGACCTTGTGCAGGAAGTCTCGGACTTTGTCCATGTCTCTGTTGAGGTAGATGTGCCACAGCGCCCCTGGTGTTTCACTCGAGTCTTTTAATCTCTTTCGAACCCCCTCATCTAGATCCTCCTCTTCCAGACGCTTCAACACTCCTTCAGAGAAACAAACTCGTCGTTCACGTATTATCATTTTTTAACAACGACCTTTGTCAAACTGTATCTATGTCATTCAGCTCTCAAAATCTAAACTAACAGTCGTTTAGTTTATGACATAATACAGTAAACAAACCACAGATTAACTCATGTTTAGTTTTCTCCATTTTGACTCTTTGACAAAGTTTCTCTCAGCCAGCGATTCAGGTAATGCTAACAGCTCCTGTTAGCCCTCACACGTTTCACCAGCCTTACCAGTTTTGGACAGGACTCCATTGCCTTTGGCTATTCCAACATAGACCAGAACAGAGACCACATCGGACACTTCCACGTGGAGTTTTGCAGTCCCAAAGTCCTGGTCCTGAGATGCAGCTACACCTACAGTGACACCATAAGAGCACTTAAAATAATGCATGTGTGGAACTTTATACACATAGTTTTACTAGTCCCCCCCAGGGACCCCAAAGCGCTTTACACACCCAGTCATCCACCCATTCACACACTGGTGGAGGCAGCTAGGGTTGTAGCCACAGCTGCCCTGGGGCGCACTGACAGAAGCCAGGCTGCCATATCGCGCCATCGGCCCTTCTGGCCAACACCAGTAGGCGGTAGGTGAAGCGTCTTGCCCAAGGACACAACGACCAGGACTGTCTGAGTCGGGGCTCGAACCAGCAACCTTCCAATTACAAGGCGAACTCCCAACTCTTGAGCCACGATCGCCCCCATTATATATGTGGTCATCCTGCTCCTATGCCAAAAAAGTAATGAGCTGGTAAATAAGATGCGATTTAAGACCTTTAAATGTGTAGTTTTTATGTCCTGGGGACTGAAACTCAAAATAACAGCTAGTGTTGGTGGGAGGGCTTTCTTCTCAAAGAAAATGGTTTTCTGGGAAACCTCGACTCCAACTGGGAACGTGGAGGCAACCTTGACACACTCAGCATCATTTTCAAGTTTCTTTGTAGGAACAAAGAAATCAATGTCACGATGAGCCCCAGAAAGTTGATTCTGATGAGCAGAATCTGGCACTGCTAGATGTAAACTGATGGCTCCTCTTACCATAGGCACAACAGAGTCTTGGCCCCAGATCTGGCCTGACAAAGAATGAAGGCAGGTGAGAAGCCAGGTTGAGGTTCCCTTCTGGATCAGAGTACTCTGGCAGAGGCAGGTTCTTCATCAAGTCATCATATCTGCAATGAATACTTGTATTTAGACGGCTTCGTCGTCACTACTGAGTCATTTACGTACCTTCAGACCTGTTTTTAAAAGCAGTCTGCTGTGTACCTTGAAGGCATGAGGGCCATAAACTCTTCTCCAGATGGCCAGTCCATCAGTCGGTAAACCATGGGCTCGCCATCTTTGGACTTTGGTCGCTCTGAACAGTTGCAAAGGATCCAGTCAGACTCGGTCACTGATGGTTTACCATAGTAATGCTCACAAGACTAAATGCAGATGAACTTACTGGTGATGTCTTCAAATCCATCCCAGAACTCCTTGATCCCAGAGTTGGACAGCACCTGGTCTTTGCAGTTCAGGAGGTCTCCCTGATGGTCTGCAAACTCCTGGTTGAAGGAGTCGGCCTTCCACAGACTGGCATTCAGTCGCTTATGGATCCCAGACACCAGCACAGGCTACACAAACACACAAGACACACAATGCATCTCAACACCAGGGTGATGAAGCTTAGTGGAGCACTGCTAAACCGACTTGCTGTACACGGATGTGCACCTGTCCGAGCTTCCAACACTCTCTGAAGAGCTTCCAGTTGTTCTGGTTGCGGTGATCTCGGAGCCACAGTAGCCGTCTGTTGTTCAGCCAGCAGTGAGGGATGTCTGGATGCTGACTGCTCGAGTCCTCCGCTTCTGCTGCAGTAACAGGTGCTGACTTCTTCTTCTCTGCTTTGGCTTCCTCAGCTGGGGCGTTATTGTTGATACTTAGGGTGATGGGCTCTTGCTTCGCTGACAACTTAGTGCTGATGTTCTGGCGGCTGGCGGGGATTTTATTCTCTACAACCGAAGCAATGATGTCATCGAGGATATTGGGCATGCTCCGCCCACCCTTCCCAGTCTACAGAAAAAGGAAAGAGGATCACACATATTACAGGAAATAAAAACCTGTGGCTTCTGTTTCTTTTTCCTTTCTTTACATTATGCTGGGACATGGGAAGTGGTCGGGTAGGACTGGACTGAAAAAGCAGCCCATGTCCAAAGATAAACTTTAAAGAGTTTCAGAAAGACGGGAGAACTATGGCTCGAGGCCGCTTTAGACAATTACACAAAAGTCTGGCTCCTTGGAGCAAAAATCTAAAAGAATAGATGCAGCTTAAATAAATAAAAAAAATTAATGATTGCACACAAACATCCTCTTACATCCAAAAACAGAAGTGGAGGTGGTCAGTTATCCTACTGTTTGCTGCTTTGTTACTTGTTCAGACTCCTGTTTGAATTGTGAGCATGTCCTGCATGTTCTGTTGGGTTACAACTTAATGTATCCTTTAAATTTCTTTAAACTGTGCAAAAGTCTTGAGCCACCCATCATTTGTCTATATTGTGACTAAGCGAGGGGAGACTGTCACTGTAACTTTCTATAAGAGAGTTTGAAGGTTGGTCTTTCTCTGATTCAGTTCCTGAAAGAAGGAGCTTGAAAAGAAAAGAGAACTGACTTCTTTAAGTTTCTTGAAGGCGTCTCATCTCTGATCCAGAAAGCTTCTTCAGTTCTAAGACCAAATGGTGGAGAGTTCCCGGGTATTTAGGTCCTAGTGGGAGCCCTCTCTTCAGAGGGTGGCTGACCCACTGTTGATCATGTGGCTCATCCAATGAACCACGACGTGAAAGTCATGGGTCACTATCAGCAGAGGTCTGGGGTGAAACCGCTGTCAGAGAACCGATTAGAACTAAAGAAGCTTCTCGGCTGAGACGTCTCCAAGAAACTTCCAGTCCAGTCACTTTTTGCTCCAAGCTCCTCAGACTACCATGACCTGGATGACTGAGGATCTACACAGGCCTAATTTTAAAAATGTCATAAAGTTTGGGAAAATGATTTTTATAACAGTGTTCTGTAAATACTTCCTGCAAAGAGGGCTGTGTACGAGTGTTCAGAACCACCGCCAGGCATGGAGAGCATATTTGTCACTGACCTAATGATAGTCTGGGCTCTTATCTGTCCCTGAAAAATATTGGCCTTAAAATTATTGCAGCGATTTATCAGAGATGTGCAGAAAAAAACTTGCTGCATTCAGGATCCAGAAATGAATGATTCACATTTAGTTTCTGCATTTTATGCAAGAACATTAGCAGTGCAGTTAAATAATCACTTTATGCTTTCATTATCAGAAGTCACCAATAATCAGAGTGCACGCATCACTTCCTGTCTCCTATCCTGCTTGTTCAGTTTGCACATTCTGTATTTGATCTGCTACACACAGATGTCTGTATCAGTATTTAGGCTCAATGTTATGATTCTGGTATAATTACAGAATGCCTGTACACTTTAAAAGCTACATAAATGCATGTGGCTCCACACAGCTCCCCCTGGTGGCTACACAAGACATCGCCATATCTGCTGCTTAGGCCATTTTAAGTGGCTATACCTGTATGAATCATATTTAAACACTGAACACAGCAGACTCTGTGTACCTGTGAAGCAGTGGAGTAGACCGGTGCAAAGGCTATTCCTGCGTCAGTGGAGCCCAGCTTCAGCTTCCCTGCTGTGCTGGTGAGGAGATCTCTGAGTGTGGAGCCCTGCTCTGTACTGTTACCCAGTGAGGGGGTTTTGCACTGCTGCAGGACTTCCAGGCTGTCCCCTTCTTTGTCCTCCTTCACAGATTTACCCAGCACCACCGACTCTTTGTTTTCTGTTACAAAAAGAGGACGGAGCCAAACTACACATTCAGCGAAACATTTAAACTTAAAGAGTTAATGGTGTGGACGGATTATTAATAATAATTTGTGGCTTCTGTTCCTCTCACCTTTCTTTTCCTCCCTGGATTTCCGCTCTGCCAAGTCTGCCAGGAAGTGCAGAGGCGACTGGGACTCTGGCGGGGTGATGGGAGCATTTGCACCGTCGTTACCTGGACTGGTTCCTCCACCACCTCCTCCGTTAGTTTCTGACTTAACTCCTCCTAGGTCAGAGGTCTGCAGAGAGCCTGGCTCAGCTTTCACCAGGGACAGCTTGTTGCTGTGATTCAGAACATTCTGCAGAACCTGGACAGAAGGAACAGTTGGATGAACTCACTTAACTGCATGAAATCACAAAGCCTTCATGTCAGAGGAAGAATAAACTTCATTTAAACAGTGACCAAGCAAAATGCCTGTCCACAGTATTGATATCCCCTGGGTTACAGGTTAATAGATAGCTATGATCACCACACACAGCTACTGTATTCTTAGTTCAACCACAAACCTGTTAGAAAACTACTGTTAAGCCTGCTTAAAGTCATTAGATAGAAGAGCCCAGATAATAGCACCTGTTTTCGGTTCACTTACTACTAAACCACAGTCTATGAGTAACTCTAGTGCAGTAACTGCTGGACCGATGATGCCATCTCTGTATGTAAAAGCTATTAACCATGACTCGGTGTGGCTGGTGTCAGCTGCAGGGCCTGTGTCTCTCACTCAGCAGTGGACCACAGCGACCCACACATGTTGATCTAGTCTGTGCCACAAAGGTAGCATCATAACAATGTCATAAAAGACTGCCCCCACCCTACCTATCACTTAGAAAACGTTGTCAATGACGTTAGACGGTCAGTGCTTACAGCTGTGAATGGCCCGATCGATATCTATCATCTATTGTTTTGCCCACTGGTGAAAGCTATTCTTTTCTCTTGATCCCATTTTCTCTTTTCTTTTCTTTGCATTGCAAATGTGGTTTACTGGTGACAGCACTCATGTTCCAGTGGTCCCACTTAACATATCTGTCTTATGAGCTGTCATTCCAGCGCATGTCTGTATCCCGTCTTCCTTCTCTCACCCCAACCAATCACAGCAGATGGCCCCGCCCCTCCCTGAGCCTGGTCCTGTCAGAGGTTTCTTCCTGTTAAAAAGGAGTTTTTCCTTCCCACTGTCGCCAAAGTGCTGCTCATAGGGGGTCATATGATTGTTGGATTTTTCTCTGTATGTATTATTGTAGGGTCGACCTTACAGTATAAAGCACCTTGAGGCGCCTGCTGTTGTATAAATAAACCATCTGCGATTCATCATTTTGTGCTGCAGTCAAGGCCAGACTGACTTCCTGCACCATCCTGAGGTATTACATGTTCTGCTCTGTATCATGGAAATTAATGAAATGAGTCAGAGGCAGAGCACAAGCGTTTTCAATGTAACACAAATCCAATGTCAGAGGAAGTAGATCTGCAGTGTGTACGCACTGCTGAGCAAACACACAGGCCTTTATCTCTATATCGAAATGTGACTACAAAGCCCGGGGTCCTGTGATACTGAACAACATACATGTCAGGTTCATTTCAGCTAACTCTCAGCGTGTTGGGCCACGCACCCATCTCACTCTACATTACCACCACTAACAGTCACAGGCAGCATCGCACTATGCTGCTTTTCAGCAGTGAGCGACCTGCCACAAAAGCACAGCTAACAGGTTTTTCTGACCTGAACTCTGCACATTTTAAATTCACCACCTCTTCAGAAAGTCTTGACAGTGAGTCAGGATGTCACTGACTGGAAGAGGGTGTGGTACCTGTGAGACTCCGTTGGTGGCAGGCAGTTTGGTGAGAAGGTTCTGTTTGCTGGCACAGGGACAGTGAGAGCTTATGTTGTGTTTTTCTCTCAGGGCGTGCATGGACGTCACCAAGTCTGTCAGCACTGAAACATCAAAATCAAACACACAATATTAAATAATTGTGCTGCAAAGTATCATTCAGTCATGAAACTGTTGTTCAGGGAAATAGCAACACAAAGAGCTGGGATGGACTGTACCTGAGCCAGGGATGATCTGGGTGGGCATGAGGTGTTTGTGGTCGTGGGCTTGGCCTTTAACACACTTTAGCCATCCATACAGCTCTTTATCTGATCATAGAGAGAAAAAAGTCCCGCAGTGAACACACTCAGACACAGTGGAGAGAAAGGTTACATACACGCGCATGTTGCTGAAAAAGACTCCGGTTCAACCGCTTCTGACTTTTGGTGAACTGTCCAAATAGCCACACTGACCTTTGGAGCTCTTTCTCTCCTTGGCCTTGTAGCAGTCTAGGCAGACGACAAAGCCACATTTCTGACAGACCCAGTGGATGTTGAAAAGTGTGGCTTCACATGCGTCACACATCTCCCTCACCCCTCTCACTGCTCGCTTCCACGCCAGCTTGGCTGAAACACACGATAAAGGTTCAGAGGAAAACACGCTAAGACGTGTTCATCTAAACTCTGACACTATTTTTGAGAAAACTTACCATCCTTCTTAATCCAGCTGGATGCAGTGTTCTCTGTTGCTACCATCTGACAGAACTTGTCTCCTATGAAGCTCAGGATGTACTTGGCTGTGCTTTGGTCCAGGTGGCTCTGCTCCATCGGCCCCGGGACCCACAGGCTGAGGGCCTCATCGTCAAACTGGTCTGGAGTGGAGAAGCCATCCATCCGGATGACGCCATTCTTGCTGTAGGAAAGCCTAGATGAGAAGAAACATGAAGGCTCTCTCAGTAAGGTGGTGCACACGTGTAGGCTGGCTGTCCAAAGAGGAAGCTGATGAAAGAAGCGCATCTACTATAAAAATGTTCAAACAAGGTTGTGCGTGACTGCATTTTGGTTTCGGACGTGTTTTTGGTGGCAAAAAAACAAATGTTGCTTATTTTCTGTCCTTACAGTCTTAATCAAATAGCTGAGAAAAAACTAAAAGTGTGACATGTTTTTAAAGCGCATGTAGTTTTAAACATGACGTTACTCTGAATCCAGCATTAAAGTGCCAGACTCCAGAAACAGACACACGCACTAAAGCAGCTTTTACTCTCAAACAGAAGCACGAAAGAGGCCTGATGTCACAAACAACTGTTAACTTGTTACACACAAAGTTCAATAGTCTGACTCGTGTTAGCCAGGGTGAAACTGTCTAACACCCAGGCAGCCTGCTTCAAACAAAGACTTTATTACCACAGAGGAAACAACAACATCATTATGACCTGGACGGATCATTTCAGGTAAATCTCAGCAGGTGTGGCACTCTACGAAGACGCCAGTGCACAGATAAAGAGAGAGTTCATAGAGTGAGTGCTTTACCGTCTGAAATAGTAGAAACGACAGAAGACGGGGGAGTGAGCGGGCTCCTCCCCTTTCTTGCTGCGGACCACCCTGCACTCCCTACACTTCTGCAGGTTGGGGCCAATTTCTGAACATGAATCATCCTGCAGGAAGGACTCTCCCGTCTGCTTCAGCTTCTTCACTTTCCTCCAGTCCTTGAGCACAGAGCGAGGGATCCCATCTAACATGCATAACATCATAATCATTAACTGTGACTACGCTTCATTTTTAAATATTAACATAGAGAAACACAGAAAATACATCAGATAAAAGAGGAGATTTTCTTTATAAGCAGGGTGTAGATGGAGACGCGCTCACGTCTTTGCCACATTTCCTCTCATCTGAAGTTACAGAAATCACTCTGAGTAGTGTGACTTCAATAAATAACATTTGATTAAGAAAAGCATCCAAGCAGTTTCCCTTCAGAAAGAATGAATATTATATCCTCTGATAGAACATATGAGACCAGCAGTCAGCTTCATGCCACACATGCTGTTTAGCATCTACACAAACAACCTTTTATGTGATAATGAAGCTAAAGCTGGGAGGTCATAACTGTCATTCCTGTGTATCAGAATAGCTTCACTGTCACTGTAACAACAGAATTAAGAGCAGTCCCTGCAGTGCCACGAAAGACAAGTTTAAATACACTTACAAAAGAATAATAACAGAAAAGAAGCAGAAGCTCATAATGAAGGAAACCTTACTGCACCTGCCAGGCTGAGCTGCAGGCTGTGTCAGACGCCTATACTCATTTATAAATGTAATTGTTACATCAAACAACCCCTTCACCTGGACTCTGTATAACATGCACGATGATGCTTCTGCAGAAATACTAAAGCTGTGCTCAGAAAGAATAGTCAGACTCTTTAGAGTGTGCGTGAGTATGAGCACGGCGAAACTACTCCCTGAGTTTATGATCGCAGCTGCTCATTTTGCAAATATAGCCCGTGTTATGTTCAGGAGGAGGATGAATGCAGTGACGATGGGTCTCACATTCATTCATTCTAATTCATATTGATCTGTTACACAGTTTTGTTCCTTCGAGCTTCCCGAGAACACGTGAGAGACTCTGGCTAACACTGATTCATGGTGTAAATGTTACCCCCACAGCTCCCAGCTGCACTGCTGTGACAAAAACACTGTTGCATGCTCCCTAACAGCAGTGACACAAACCTACAGCGAGACACGAGCGAGGACTTACTGCTGCTGGCCAGTTTGAGTTTAGTCTTCTCTCGGGCCGATCTGAAGATGCCGTTGGGCTTCACGTCGTCTTCCTCTCTGTCGTTGTCTCCTTTCTTCTTGGCCATGTCGTTCTGCTTCTTCTTGTAGGTCGGTTTAGGCTGACGCTTGGCTCGGCCCTCCATCTTGCTCTCGCTGGTGTCAGAATCATCTGCCCCGCTCTCCGAACCAGACTCGTATGTGCGTTTGTTCACCCTCCTTGACCCCACTTTTCTCTCCTCCCCGCCTCCTGGAGCTCCGGCCAACTTGTCCTCAGGCTGTCTGTCTCTGTCACCTTTGCTTCCAATGTCTTTGCTCATCTCGACCTCGTTGGAGGTGGAGGCGCTGAGATTGACGGTACAGGGCTTGATCATTTCTGACATGGCTGCTGTGTTGCTTGTGGTAGTGGTGCTCGGACTTTTCTCCACTTTCATACTGGAGCTTGTAGTGGTAGCGGTGTTCCTGTCCTCCTCGGAGTGCCGGGTTAACCAGGCTTTCTTCAGCTTGTGGTAGTTGTTGGGCTGCGCAGAGCTCGGTAAGGCTGATCCCAGGGACTGGCCATTAAGCAGGGGACTTGACTTGCCTGGTGTGGTACTCCTGCTCGCTGAGCTATTGCTGCTGCTGTCAAACGAGACCGAGGAGGCCTGACTAGTAGCAGGTGGAGGCGGGGAGCTGGAAATGGGGGTTTTCTCAGTGGAATCCACAGTTAAGGAAGAATTTTCAGCTGTGACTGACGAGGGAGGAGTAGAAAGGTTGCTTCTGGACTGTGCCGCAGCTAAAGCAGCTTTGTGCTTCTTGAGGTGGATAAACGAAGAGGCGTAAGGCTGACTCGAGCCAGAGATTGAGCTAGGTGTTGGGGTAAGGCTTGGGCTGGGGCGGGGTGCTCCTGCTACACTCGCAGGATTCAGAGAGACGCCTGGAGATGCGTGTGAGCCAAAGCCCTCCTGGAGCTCCTTTTCCGTCTCTGGTCTTATATGGCAGAGCACCCGACCCCCAGTGCCAGGTTTGAGCGCTGCAAAGTCACATCGAGCCGAGTAAACTGGCTCAGGAGTAGCGCTCCTGGTTTTACTCTGAGAGCCAAAAGCTGAGGAGACTAAAATGGCAGTCCTGCACACAGAGTTTGTAGCACCGGCTCCCACAGGTCCTGACACACCTGGCACAGGAGTCTTTTTATAACCCTCCAGGTTCAAGTTAGGCTGGATGACCCTACCTGCTGCAGGTTCTCGTGGACATTCGTCCTGAAACTTCGATGTGTAGAACCTCCCCTGGGGGAGCTCTTTGTGGATAAGAGCACCAGATTTCTTAGCACCAACGGGACTGTCGTACTTTATAGACGATCGCACAATGACCGATGCCATTGCCGACTGGGGCTTATTTTTAGAGAACCCCTTATCTCCAGAGCACACCCCTCCTCGTTCCTCGATCAAGTCTCTACCTTTGCACCCATCTGCGGATGGAGCCGCCATCTCTCCGGGGGTGGCAGAGGCCACAAAGGTGATGGCAGCAGCAGTCCCGTGACCTTTGATGTCCCTGAGCTCTGGCAGCAACGTGGGGGGCTTCTGCTGCTCTGCTGATGTTTTGCTACCAGTTACTGGCTGAATGGGAGTGAGGGTTGGAGGAGAGAGGCGTCCACCGTGCGCGGCTCTTTCCCTCTCTGCAGCCTCTTTGCGTTCCAGCGCGTGCTGTGTGGGTGGATGGAAGACAGGTGCTCGGTGGAGAGATGGCATTGCCCTGAGCTGTTGCTGCTGCTGCAGGTGATGATGGTGATGGTGTTGGTTAGAGGCTGAAGATGAAGAGGACAACGTGGAGGAAGGAGGAGAAATAGCAGGGCTGCGACGGTCTATCCTGTCTACGCCTGCGTGGAGCTGATGCTGCGGCTGAACGAGGGTCACCTGCTGACTGAGCTGCTCCGTGATTTTCCCCGCTAAACCTTCTCCTCCCTCCGGCTGGTGCTTGATGAGAGGAGGGGGCTTGGAGAGGGAGTTTTTGGAGCTGGTGTGGTAGATGCTCATCGACAGAGCTCCTGGGCTCTGCAC